TGACACTTCTCCAGTCACTTTCGGCCTGGAGAATTCACTTTCGGTCTGATAAATTGTTCTTTCACACCTAAACACAAAGCCAGGTGGAATGTTTGTATTTAGAAGTAGATGTCACATGTATTTATATTGTTGAAATTTTATAAGATGTCAATGTCGGTGTCAGAGTGTCAGTCGAATTTCCATTTTTGTCAAATCTTTACCCTTTTTTTTTTCAATAATTAATGGTTCAAAATAAAATAGTATACATATTTCGGTGGAAAGTTTTCATATATTGTCTCGAGAATTGGTTGACCTCGGCGCTTCGCACCTCGGTCAACCATAGTATCTCTGAGTGTGTTTAAAAGAGGTATCACTCGACCTCTTGTTCCATTTGAAATACTAAAGGTTGGACCCACCCCTTCTAGAGGAATAAAGTTAAAGTGCTGAAAATGGTTGCAGAAAACTTCTCCCTTCGAAAATCAAATAACGTGCACAAGCGATTTTTTTTTAAAATGAACGTGGCATTAGATATTTAGCCTGTTTCGTTTTAAATGGTACACCCTGTATAAGTTTAGTCTCAATCACTCGGATTTTTAGAGCATAAAAAGTAGGTACTTACCTTCTTTCAAACCCGCACCAAGCAGGCACAATACCAGCATTTCGTTTACCTCGAACAGGCATACAAATTTTTCTACATCAATTAATTTTTCATTAATTCCGCCGCTACCATCTTCTGTACCTAACTATTAAAATTTTCATATCAGGCTTAAATCTGTGCGGTTGCAATAAGATGAATTAGATTTATTGATTCGAGAATTATGTTCTGAAATTTTTGTTATAAAACATCTTCTTGTCTGGCATATATACATTTTTGCTCTATTATTTATTAGGTATACAGTTTGAAACTTATTAATAATGAAAATTGGATTCGACTAGAAATATTAATAATGCTGTTAGAAAATACCCCTTGTTATAATTAATTTAAGGTAGTTTTAATCTAAACGCCATGAATATTCCTTTTCGTACCTCAAGGACCGTTTGTCACATCCTTATCACCCTCTGGAGCCGTTTTGTTTTATTTTATATCGTTATCGGGACTCTGAAGCCCCGGAGAGCAAGCCTCCGTAATTGATGACGTTTAGAATCTGTGACGTTTTCATTTTGGGTGCAGGGCTGGGTAAGTTCAAATAATATAAATTTGACTAGAGAGAATATACTAAATTGAAATGTTTATTACAATCATTAACATCGCAGTCGCGGTTCCGTCGTTTTCAGCGACTAAAAATTAGCTATAATAATAATTGTTATATACCTCTTAGTTTGGATTTAAGTACCTACTTATCCTCATACTCTTCCATCAAAATAAAAATTAATAAACAATGAAAAAAAAAATATATTAATTGACAAGTTATTTCTTTTTTGATGGAGGTGTTGCCTTTTTTGGCAGCCAGTCTTGTCATTTCGACCAATTTACAAATTGGAATTGATATTTGAAAAAACTTCGGGATTTCACAAAAATCTTCGCTACTACTCTAGAGCACCCTCACTATAGATTTCAGGTGAAAAAGGCTCGACCGTAGTAGGTTGAGTAAGACAACAAATGACAGTTGAATACTGATTTAATAATTGAAAATTATCACAATTTATATTAATCTAAATCAAAATAATTTAAATAATATTTTTTCCTAACTTTAAATCTAATAACTATCTAACCTTGTTTCGACATGAACCTATGATGCTGCCGGAATATTAGCGAGGTCGGCACTTTTCGTGTCCAGACACGCTTGACCATGAATATTTGATTCTATTATTTTTATTAAACAATTATTTTAATACAAGGAAATTCCATGCAGTTAATAAATCTTTTTTTCATGTGACTCAAAATGGTCAAAATTCGAAAATCATCAACAATGATTTTGGGCACATGGAGACTCGACATCCTCCCGGCTGTTTGTGGGAAGCAGGCTGCGTAGAGGACGTAGCTCGATCGACCTGTGCTGGTTCTGTTGGTTCATTTTTTGTGTTCTTGGCGGTGTTTGATCCAAGGCGTTGGTTGTAGGGTTGCCAGATTTTCAAAATTGAAAAGCGGGAGGTAGTGAATGGAAGGAAAAAATAATGTTTCGCCGCAGGCGGAAATTTTGAGGTGCCACGTCCTAATTTTGTCACATTTTACCATATACAGAGTGTTCGAAAAGTAACGGGACGGTCAATTATCTATGAAACCAGTGGTGCAATTTAAACAAATTCTTATAATTCAAGACGAATTCAAAAATTGTATGGACGTCGTTGCCAGACTTAGGTACTAATAATAGGTATTACAAGCAGTGGCGGACCTAGGACCTCTGGAGCCCGACGCCAAAAAATTTTTGGGGCCCTGTCATGCTTTTTTCATGTATTTTTCTTGTGGTTTTGGGGTGTGAGGTGAGTGCGCGAAAGTTATTTATATTTTTGAAGTTTTTTACAGCCAAATATGAAAACAATTTTCATCAAAAAACAAGTTTATCAAGATCATATGAAAAGTTAAACGAAAAAAATATTTCCCTACAGGGCCTCTGTTCTCGAAACGGGATGAGAAGGAAGGTTCTGTTTTACTAGCTATTCATCATATTTCTATTTCCATAACACTAATAGAAAGCAATCGTTCTCGTGAGAACGCTGTTCGCCGGTTTCGAGAATAGGCATCCTGGTATACAACATTGCCGCCTCTTTTAAAATTTAATTTTCGCTCTGGTGCAGACCCGTCAGCTCTGGGGGCCCCACGCAGAGTGCGTCGTTTGCGTTTGCTTCATGTTAGATCCGCCACTGATTACAAGAGGAAAGGAACTTATACTTGGACCAAGTAAGTTGGCAGGCTTACTTACTTGGATCTTGGATGTTAGATGTTGGGACCTATCCTAGACTTGGATAAACAGTTAATACGATAAAAGTGTCATCCAAGTGAGGCGTGCGCAGCGTTCAAGACTCCAAGTATACTTGGACCGTGTCAACCGAACCTGGCTTAAATAAAGTGGAGCTTGGTACGTAGAGAATTCTTGAAGTTCAAACCCCCTTTACAATCTACAGTCAGCGTCACAACGAAGGTAGGATACCTTCAGTTCAAATTTGATGCCCAAGCTCTCAAGCTTGCCTAGTTCTGTCCTTGTTTGGAATTGGAAATAGAGAAAGATTCAAATAATATTTATCAAAGTGCGCCCGCCTCTCGACGTTAAGCGTAAAGCTCTTCAGTTATGTTGGGTTGCCAGATTTATGATGAAGTATTAAAATAAGGTAAAAATAAATAAGGGCACATAATTCACAGAATTATATTTCATGTAATTTTTATTTTTGGGAAAAGCGGGAGTTTTGCTTAAGTACGCGGGAGGCGGGAGGTTTAGTAAAAAAGCGGGAGACTCCCGCCTGAATCGGGAGGGTTGGCAACCCTAGTCGGTTGTGTGTGGTCGATGCTCGCCGTTGGTGGTGGCGGGTGTGGTGTAGTAACCTATCATGACCACTGTCGATATTATCGTAATTATACGTAGCGTTATACCATTGCTTGCATATGTGTGGTATCGGATTTTTTTTCCATATTGTATTTTCAAGTTGGGTTCTGGTTGTTTCTTCGTCGTGGATTATTGACTGGAAGTTGTCGTTTATGTTTAGAATTGGTTTGTCTTCGATGAGTGAACTTGGATTGCTTGAGGCTTGGATTTGATTAATGTGTACTGCAGTTATAACGTTCTTTTATGGCAATGGCTAATTATACTGCGTACGGATAGTCAGCATCAATTTGGAGGCCATGGGTTTATGGGTTCCCTGTATACATCTTATCTGTGGGCGATTTTTAAGCATTTTTAAGCATTAACAACAGATGCGAGCTTTTAAGAGCACGCATCTGTGATTTTGCCGATATTGTCAGCGTCGCCTTTGACAACGGGCAATATCTGACGAAAATCGCCGCCAAAGACAAAACATTTGCCACCAAAGGGTAAATCATGATTATCCATCAGCTCCCTAAAATATCTATCGATGGCATCCACTGCCAAACGCGGGGTCATCGGTGCCTCGTCCCATACAACCAAGGCCACATTCCGTGAATACCGAGAAATCCCGTGTCCAGGGGCCAGCGAGCTACATTACGGTCGGACAAATTCAATGGCAACCTGAAGGTTTTATGGACGGTTTTGCCGCCAATCAGAAGATTAGCGGCAATTCCGGTCCAAGCAACGGCAACAGTTGTCATTCTCATTGTCGACTGTACGTAGTGAAGCCTCGTATTATACAGATACGTTTTTCCTGTCCCACCCGGTCCATCCAAATAAAAAACGTTGGACTTTAAATTAGAACGGTCCCCCAGAACGCTTGCAGGTACGTCCATGAGATCGAGATAGATGTCCAGAGAGAGAGGGCCAGATCTCTTAATGAAGCGGATGGCGTGCACAATCTGGATAAAAATTGTTTTTTGATCGAGATTGAGCCTGGCGAACCCGTAATCTGTTACTGGTCCTTGCCCTCCAACATGCCTATACAAATCTTCAACCCTTAATCCCACAGCAGTTCTCTCCTCTGCGGCGATGAGCCGTCGCGATCGTCGTCGAAGATGACTTCTAATTGGGCTAATGTCGTACCTTGTCTACTACTCGCCAAAATACCGTCAACCACTTGAAAGCACCGCATGATAGAGTCCCCATGATTTGAACCCCTATGTCTATAATCCTCGATTATGTCCAATTTGTATTTGTGCCATAATCGCGGAATTTGCGCCTGTTCGTCGTCTATCACGATCGTACATATGGACGCAAATAGGCGCCTCAGTCTGCACGGTAATTTTCTGATGTGGGCCTCTGCCATACAGCGGTCGTATTCGGTTCCGTTCCTTAGCAAGTTCCTACGATCACATGCAGTTTTGAAGTCCGGGCACAGATCATTGTTGACCGTCCGTAAGTTTTCCAAAGTAGTCGGTCTTCGGACGTGCAGTAAAAAAGTTCTCAAATAGAATTTCTCTATTTGAGGATCGTTCGGACTGTCTTCGTATACAGTTCCGATCATCTTACTGGACGCTCTACGTTTGTTCCATCGAGCACCCCGGCATTCCATATGTAATATTCGGGAATTTGACCATATAACAAATCTCTGGCGTCGGGTGATTCGGCTTTTAGTATGAAAAAGGTTTCCAATTTCGAGGGTTTATCGAGAGCTGCTGGGACCTCATCGACGTCATCCTGTTCGTCATAGAAGACATCACGGAAGCCAGGCAAATGCACAGGCAAAAGCGTGACCGTGTGAGATCTGTCGAACATTTTGAATTCGAAGAGTCTCCAAGCAGCTTTTATTAAACTGACGTAGCGACAATTGAGATATCTCTGCATTTCATTTAACTCATTACCTGCGTCAACTTCGACTCTGATGGAGTCGAAGCCTTTGACTAAATATTTGTGAAGGTATTTCATGGTCTTTATCGACCCTATCACCTCAAAATTGATGTGACAGTTATATTTAGCCAAATTGTAGGCATTGTATGGAACGACGCGACTGTTATCGATGACCACGTTTTGGTTCACCAAATCGACAGTTTTATCATCCCTTGGACGTTTGTACACCGGTCTTTGGATACTGCCACGACTTACAAGAGTACGTTCGGCAAAAGCCATTGGAAGTTTAAACCGACATGCCCCGTCCACAATACAAGTTGCCTCATCACGGTTTATCAAACACGCACTATGAAGCTGATGCTGGGCTACGCGCGCATATAACTAGGGCTGATTTATTCGGTTCGGGATAAATGCAGAGACGATGCCGTCCACATCATTAGCGTTTTGAATCCTATCGTCCGGTGTAAAAGTCAAAACGATATGCGCATGTAGCAAACCACGTTTCTGGAACTCAATTACGTAAGGGTAACTGAGTACCACATCGTATAGTTGTTTTTGAGTAATGTCGTTCATAAATTCCTTCAGTTTGGCACTGAAGACCCTGCACACGAAATCGGGGCAGTTTTTCCATCGTTGATGGGGAGGCAGATTGTTAGATATTTCGGGCCAGCGTGGATTACAAGTGGTTTGTCACAACGCGCAATAACGGTCATGGCCTCCGAGTACCTACGCTTCAAATTTCTTTTACCACCTACGAACGAAACGGGCAAAATGACAGGACGCCCATTGCGTTCTTGGTCGGCTTCCCCTCCGGCTGCTGCCCTACGCCTATTATAACGATCAAGAGACCCCTGGGCCGCCATCCTAAACTTTGCTTGGTTATTACGCAAGTAAAGTAACGGATTGTGCTTTACACCACGCATCGACGATGTACTGTTGGAACAATTTCTGGCCGTAATGTATGATACTGAAACCGTCCCTAATTTGCAAGCGATAACGATAAAATTGGCGGGCCGAAATCGATTTCCCATCCGTGACGGATCGCACGTCCAAATTCCGACCATCATCTCCGCAAGGAAACAGGAGAGGATACACCATGGGATCTGCAAGTTTACTAATGCTACTGATCACATGACTACGTTGCCTTCCTTATTCGGCTTCTCTCGCCTTGGGACGAAGCATAAGATCTACCCGGAAAGGGGGCTCGTCGCCAACAAACAGGGCAGCAATGTCGCTGCGGCTTTCCGGGAGATTATAATTCCTCCTTTGACGATTCATGTAATCGAGTAGCCCTATGTAAACGTTATCCAATGGATCTTCCCTCGGGCGCCTCCTTTTGTCTTCGGCCAACTGCTCACCTATCGTTAGATAAGCGCGCATATACGGATTGACGCGTTGGAGAGTTGTCTCGATAAGTTCAAGCAATTCCCTATCGACGCCCGAATCAGCCGCATATGCTGTCCTATGGGCCAGGGCTTCAGCGACGTCCAAAAAGAAATAGTGATTTTAATGCGGTTCGTTTAAATCTTGTGTGTTCGGAACCTTATTGAAATAGTGAAAAACCTGACCGGTGACAGCAAAATACCGGCCGGCGTTCGCGACGCGATCCCCCCTGAAACCGACGTTTTACATGAGGCCATAGCGAACAGACCGTTTATATAGCGAATTTTTTCACGGAATAGATCGCTTTGTCGACCGTTACCAGTAAACAAAGCGCTCAATTCACGCGGGGTGTCAGAGAGCCGCGACAAAACGATCGCAGCGTTCTTGCAACAAATCCGCAGAGTACCTAGGCGCTGGATGAATTCGTTCTGGAAGAACTTTGCACTGCACGCAGTACAAGTTACGGCCAGAGCCCCCAACGAACAGGAATTTCTGCATTTTTGTTCAATCAGCCCGGCCTCGGAATTTACGGCGAATTTCCAAGTGCGCTTGTGCGGAATATTCTCGCCTCATATTTTCGCTCGAGGTACCGGCGGTGGAGCGGCCGCATCTTTAGCCCTAATTTTTGGTTGATGCACGGCATTATTCTCACTTCCTTGTGTCATTCTGGCAGGGGAGGCAGGCCCTGCCATGGTCACACGGGGAACATCTGCCTGCAATGACGGCACATTATTGTCCAACCGTTGGAACCGCTCAGCACCAGGCAAAATTCCAGTGACAACGTTAGCCTGAATTTCCGGCAAGCAAATTTAGAGGGAAGAACTGACGTTGCGATTTTTGGTGAAAAATCCTGGTTCTGTTTCTCTGATATCGGGTAGTGAGTGACCTGTATGTGCGTCAAGGGTGAGAAGCGGCAGATGTGACGTTCGAATTTTGAGAATCATTTGCGGGAACAACAATTCTATACAATATACTGGACAAATCCCTATTAAACGGCCCTGAATCTGTCGTGTTTGCACGTCCACGTCTGCTCGCATCTTTTGTTAATGAATTAACAAGAGGCCCATAATATGCTCGGTTTGCTCAACGAAAAATGATTAGGTGTGGGTTGATAGTTTAATCAGTACAGAATGGCAAGGGCGCCACTGAATTTAAAAAAAATGATAATAAAATTGCTTGAAATATGGAAGGGTGAAAATTCAGAAACACACTTAGAAAATAATCAGCAAACGGTAATTGGTAATTCTTAAAAAGAAATAAATAATGCACACAATTCAAATCTTGACAAATAGGTAAACCAATAACACAATTAAGTAAAATTTCAAATTAAAATAGTATATATTTTCACAGTCAGTCAAAAATTCAGCAATAAATTATTTCAAAATATAAAATCAATTATTGTTGGTAAAATACCTTAGATTAAATCCATTAAAAGAAATTCACTTATAATCATATTCGTCAAACTGAAAAAAATTAAATAATAGTATAAAAACAATGCTCCTCAATATAGTTGCCCTACAGGTTCATTAACAGTCGCTGGCCATATCATCAATTTGAAAGGAAAATATAAAGATTTAAGTTTCCAGAAAACTAATTAAAAAAAAAAAATGATTGAATATTGCACTGATAAATATGTTCAGCTTCTGCAACAAAATTAGTTCAATAAAATCAAATTGTACCTCTATGATATCAAAGGTTAAACGTTGAAGGTATATATATATATATAACAGTTAATTGGTCTGGAAATTTAATAGAAATCCTCAAATATATGTATAAGTGATAGGACCCAGGGTTAAAAATTGATCAATTTTTGACGTTATATGTACTTACTCAATAAGTTTAAATTTAGAGCATGTTGTCCAACCCTGACCTGAGTTCAATTATATAAGCTTTAATACATAGGCTTATATAAGTACATTTTTTAAATATGGCGGCACTAAAAGTTAAGCAGGGAAAAAATCCATAGTAAATACGGTAAATCAAAAATTAAATAATAGAGTTCACTCTGGTGTCTAGAATAATGAATGAAATTGAAACTTTGAAAATTTAAAGGTAATGTCGGTAAAAATTTAATCAATTAATTTTGTTAATTGACTATAAAATTGATTTCATAAAAGAAAAGGCATTAAAAGTTATTAGTGAAACTTAATACAAGCCTCCATTCCAATAGAGGGTAGAGCACAAAAGCCATCCATCCTCGGTCATTTGATGAAGGGAACCGTACATGGAACTTGCGGATTCTAGCCCAGAATCCAGACAGACAAGGAACTAGAATTGTCGTCAAATGCGGGGCACACGTATCGACTTGTGAGGGTCTTGATTCTTGTAGTGTGTCAATTAATTCAGCCGGCAATAGATCCCTTCAAAAGCTCTATGCCACACTTCATGGAAATGGTGTTACTATTGAAAATGTGGCCTTTTTGGAATGAACCTGTTGGGAGAAATGGCTCTCCGAAAGACCCTAAGTAATAAGGCATTCCATGAACAACCATTACTTGAAAAAAAAATTAAAGAAACTTACCACGAGTGGGGTCGAAATTCAAACTCGAATAAAACGGTAATCACAAGACTGTTTGTTTTATTTTCTCGGTAATCAATGGACTATTGCATTAAGTCAGGCGCAAACCGGAGCGGTGGCGGTGGCGGGCGCGGTGGCGGTAGCAGTGGCTAACGAATACTGCACATGTAAATGAACTGAAGCGCGCATACCGCGGCGAACTGGAGAACGCTGTCCGCCGTTAATGCTGCGTTCTACCGCGGCTCCGCGGCGGTCACCTAGCGATCGGCGGTAGAACGCTGTCTGCGTAATTTTTTCGCCTAGTTCGCTCGATCTGCATCAGTGCAGAGCAGTGCAAACATGTGTGATATTGAAAATGTGCGGGAAAATCCTGTTTTATACGACTTAACCCAACTGATTATAAAAATATCAAAAAGAAGGACAAAATATGGGACAAAATTGCGTCAACTATGGGTAGGACGACAGGTAAGTTCCGGTTTCGTACTTTTCTAAATTTTTTGTTTAACATAATATCTAGTCACGTATATGAAACGCTGCGTTTGGTGGTCTTGTGCCAATGTTTGCAAAATTCTGAAAGGCCCGAAGCTCCGGCTGTTGTTCATGTTCATCTAATATGTTTAACGATTGGTCACATTTTTTTCCGCGCAGGTAATTGTGTAATACACAAATAGCTTCAACAATAATTACGGCTGTTTCAATTTTAACTTCAATAGGTCTGAAGAGCACACGCCATTTATGAGATAAAATCCCAAATAGTTCTTTTCGATTATCTGATCTTGATTGGCGATGAGGAAAAGGTCGTATTAAAAATTCCTTAAGAGGAAAAGCTTCATCTCCAATAGGTACACAAGGTGTATGCTCATTCTGATTTGGTAAAGGTCTATCTTCAGGAACATGAAAGGTTCCTTCACGTAATCTCTGCCCCATTGCAGATTCCTCAAAGAGACCACCATCGCTATTTTTACCATACCCTCCAACATCAATGCAAATAAATTTATATTCGTGATCTACGACAGCTAACAGCACAAAGGAAAATTTCTGCAAGTAACAAAAGTAGTTGGAGCCAGTTTTATCAGGACATTTTATGGTTATATGTTTTCCATCTATGCTGCCTATACAGTTTGGAAATTGCCATTTTTCATTAAAACCAGCAATAGTTTTTTCCCATGTTTCGGTATTCGGCTCGGGCATATGTAAAGGCAGCATATGATTCCAGATGGCAGTGCAAACTTCCGAAACTATGGAGCTAACCGTTCTAAATCCCATTCGAAAACTATGGCCAATAGTTTTAAATGAATCTCCTGTCGCAAGGTACTCCAAGACAGTTAAAAAATCTTATATGGTGAATTGGGAACAAAATAACATAAAGCTGCGACTAATCTCACTCGATAGAATTTATGGTCCTGATGAACATACTAAAAGTCCCCAGACCTCCTTCTAGGGGAACATTGTCAAAAGAGCGCCGCCATCTTGGATTTTTGACATTTTATGCTTAATTAACCTTTTTACTCAAAATCTACTCATTTTTCGAGAAAATATGAGGAAAGATAAATTGAAGAGCACAAAAAAACATTTAAAAAAAGTTATTTTTGGACTTCGTGGGTACTACCCTCACTGAGATAGGAGCTAAAGAAGTACTGCCAAGAAACAATTTTTTGCCTAATTTTCATTTTACTCATAAACCACTCACTTTTTAAGAAATATGAAGAGACGCAAATCGAAAAATTAAATTTGAGGTACATAGGTATTACCGAATATCCGCGGTGGTACACTTACCAAGATAGGAGCCGATGGAGTACCGCCGACATAGGATTTTTTTAGTTTTCTTTTTGAGAGAAAAGCATTAGCAAGAAATTTCAAGAGCGTGACTTAAAACTTATTTCTGATACGAGTACTCGCGTGCGGAAAGTGTCACTTTTCCGCAGCGATTACAGTTGGCCGAACGATGCGAAGCGGAGTTCTTCCAAGCAATCAAGTGAAGAAAAGGGACTTTCCGCACGAGTATGAAACAATATTTTTTGTACTAGATGAAAATTGATACTTGTACCTCTACTTATTTCAAATACAATTTTAGATATTTTCCCTTTCCGCCCTAGTGCGGAAAAGTAATGCGGAAAAGTGACACTTTCAAAACTGAAATGCGTGCGGAAAGTGTCACTTTTCCGCAGCGATTACAGTTGGCCGAACGATGCGAAGCGGAGTTCTTCCAAGCAATCAAGTGAAGAAAAGGGACTTTCCGCACGAGTATGAAACAATATTTTTTGTACTAGATGAAAATTGATACTTGTACCTCTACTTATTTCAAATACAATTTTAGATATTTTCCCTTTCCGCCCTAGTGCGGAAAAGTAATGCGGAAAAGTGACACTTTCAAAACTGAAATGCGTGCGGAAAGTGGGCTTATCCGCACGCTAGTAAAAACATCTTTCACGGCATTTATTAAAAATCCTCAGGTGTGTTTTCTTGACTTCCAGTCATTACATAACATAGTGGGCGTACTATATAAGTGATACGATTACGAACCACCGTAAACAGCTGACTCGACTATCCCTCTTACTGAAGTATTACGTACGGATTAGATTTGAATGCGATAGGAAAATACGAGAATAGTCGGGGTTTGAGGTTTGGAATGTGTTTTTTTTATTATCCGGTGCAGGGTCTAGTGTGATTGGCTGGCGTACTATATATATTCTCCATATTGACTTGACACAAACAGACACAAAGGTGAAGTTGTCAATTAATGTCAAATTGTTTACGTTTTTTTATCTATACTGTATTTTTTTCCAAGATGGATTTTGACATTGTCAACTTTGAAACATAAACAATGCCACTTATTGGTCACAAGATGCCATTTGCACGACATGCATTGTAAAACTGATGTCAACCTGCAGATACACCTTATTTTGCGACCATTCAGGGCTAAGCGGTATTGTTTGTTTCAAAGTTTTCGATGTCAAAATCCATCTTGGAAAAAAATAGACTTTATGTGAAATTATAAGTCATTTCCATTTCCATCAAAATACAATTTTGGTTGCCTTATTTTGCAGTTGTAGAAGAAGCATTGCAAAAAACTCGTTTAAACTGTCTCGGCCGTAAGAAAAAAGTCGTTTTCAAAATTTGTTGTTTAGATAACTATTGTTGTTATATGTTTGTAGGTACCTATCATAACAGAGTAAACAAGTTTCTATATGTATATGTAGTATATAGGTAGAATACACGTTAGTAATAGGTATTATGTTTCGTTGATCGCATTTGTTGTAAAACCTATTCTGAAGCGTTTCAAATGGATTTACATCAAATTTCCTACAAAACGCAACAACATTCAGTTATATTGCATATGGAAAGCGGTATTTCGGCGGTACTTCTTTGGCTCCTATCTCAGTAAGAGTTGTACCCAGGAAGTTCATCAATAACTCTTTTCAAAGGTTTTTTTGTGCTTTCCGATTTATTCCTCTTCATATTTTCTCGAAAAATGAGTAGTTTTCGAGTAAAACGTAAATTAAACAAAAAATATCAAAAATCCAAGATGGCGGCGCCATTTTGACAATGTTCCCCTAAGGGGAAGTCTGGGGACTTTTAGTATGTTTATCAGGATCATAAATCCTATCGATCAAGAGTAGTCGCAGCTTTATGTTATTTTGTTCCCAATAAAATTATAACTGTCTTGGGGTATATGTGCAAAAAACTATGCCTTTTTTTTCCAAAGCGCGTGCCGCGGAAGAAAAAAGCGGCTAGATAAGTGAAGATGTTTTGACAAGGGGCAGTACGTACCAAATTTTTAGCTTTTTAGGTTTTATTTAAGTTGAAAAATTGAGTGATTTCTATTTATGGATGTATTAATTTTTCTTCAAAACGACCCAGTCTGCGCGTTGGACCTAGGGACTGTTATCGGCAAAAGCGGTATTTTTTGGGCGGTATTTTTTTCAAACAACAAAGAAATGCGAGATGTTATGCTAATAAAAATTAGACTATACTTAGGTATATGTTTAAAAAGATCTTTCGATTGTAAGCGCTGAAAAATACTTAAAAATGCTTTATCGATGCCTAACTAGATTACAAAAAATATTTTTGTTGCAGGTGATGAGCTTAAAAAGAAATGGAAGAACTTGCGAGATTCCTATAGCAAATTTTTGAGAACTGAAAAAACAAAAACCGGACAGGAAACCAAAATTTTGGACCGGTATAAAACTTGGCCCTGGGCTCGACAAATGGAATTTTTAAAAGTTTTTTTGCAATATGCCAAAACAAATTCCAATATATCGGTAAAATTGAGTGAACCAGTAGAGATCACTGAACAAACTGAGCAAAAAGATCAGGAAAAGGAAAACCAATCGCCTCAGAATTTAGTTGAGGAAATTCAGCAACCTGTTGATTCATGTGAGAAGCCAACCTATATACCAGACCAAAAAAAGAAGCGTCATCTGAAGTAGACATAAAATCGCTCTCTATTCTCCCGTAGTTTCTCAAATATCGTATGGAATTCTCCTTTGGTTTCTCGATCTAAATTAATGCTGTGGACCCAAATTCTTCGTTTTTTTCTTAAAAAAATAATTAAAAATACCTCAATGTAACGATACCTCCAATCACACCAATGTTATGATCACCTAATGTTCACCAGCAAATCACGAGGGATTGTGAACTCAATCCGTCAAACTCGCACCAATTAAGTAAAACACGTTAACTCGATTTTATTCAAAATGGTTTATATTTATTCAAGAGAGTTTATGTTATTTAAGAGAGGAATACTTTTAGAACTTTAAAATATAATGTTTACAGCCTCAAGTTCGGAATCTGAATGTCTTTATCCAACCTTCCTGCACAGCAAGAAGGCAGCCAAGATCCTATCTCAATAAAAAGGCGGTTTTCATATTATTCTCAAAAGGACCCAATATTGCACATTTATTTATAACTTTGTTACTTTTGAAAGTTCACACATTCATAAACTTAAAAGTGAAATCTATTTGGTTGGGCAAGTATGTCAAACATTCTACAACGTAACAATAATAGATAAATTGAGGATAATAAAATAAGGGTCGGAAAGGATAACTTTGGATGTTAAACCGCCCAGGCACATCGGTTAAGTTTCTGTGAACCAGATGACAATTAATATGAACCATGAAGTATTACATAATATTTGTTATTAACAATAAGGGAATAACGTTACATCAAATATACATTGTCTAAGATAGATGAACATTTGTATGTGTATTTTTTTTCCTATGAAAACCTATTTTTTCCGCAAACGTCAAAAAATTACGACTTTTTTAACCTCAATTCTTAATGTTGAAATTTGATTTCACAGACGTCATTTTTTTTGTTACTTTTTTGTCCGCCCGTTCCGTGAACATACAAAAATAGTTATTTATACAACAAGTGTGTAAAGTGAACCTTTTTTCACGAATGTGAATGCATACAATTTTTTTTCTACTACCAATCGAATATGTGTAAAAAAATAAACTTGGACCAATACTTTACGCACTAGTGCGTGAAGAATTTCCACTTTACGCACGTGCGTGAAGTAATTTACCAGAAAAATGCCAAATTGACAGTATGTCGACAACTGTCATTGACATTACTTTACGCACTAGTGTCCGAAGTGAATTACTTTACGCACTAGTGCGTGAAGTGAAATTTTACGTCTTCTGAATAGTGCGCAAAGTGAGTACTTTACGCACGGTAGTAGAAAAATAAATTTAGTTTGTTTCATTTTCTAGAGAAGAAGTTTATTTTATTTTTTGAATTTTTCCTTGGGTTGTTGTTGTCAGTGTTTTGCGTATAGGATCTATAGTCTCAATTTGTGTAAGAGGTGTGTATTTATCACCAAGTTTTTGTCGTGTATGTTTTCGAATGTAGATTTTTTGATCTGGGCGAATAATGAAGGCTTGTCACGGGTTTCGTTAATTTTTCCAATTACTTTCTCTTTGGTGTTAATTAGTTGTTCATTGATTCAGGAATACAAAAGTTTAGTTTTGTCTTTTTGTCCCGCAACGTAATCTGATAAGAGTAGTTGGTTTAAGTTTATATTAAATGGGTCGTTGTTACTGATATGGCCAGTAATTACGTTCAAGGATTTGAATTTTGTAACAGAATGAATGGAATTGTACGCCAAAATTGCGTATTTCATTTTTTGGGTGATTGGAGTATTTTGGAATCCTTAATTATTCAATAATCTGACATGCTATGATGGAATGGAATGAACTCTCTCTATAACACCGTTGGACTGTGGGTGATTTGGGGAACAAAAATGGATTTTTATTTTATGGATTTGCAATAGCTCGGTGATGACTGTGTTTCTGAATTCAGTTCCGTTGTCGATTATGACTTTGGAGGGGATACCCTGATGAGAGAAAAATGTGATTAGATTGTCTGCGATTTCAGTTGCGTTTAATGCTGTGAGAGGATATGCTTGGGTATATTTAGAGAAGCTGTCGATGATGGTTAAGAATTTCATTTTATCTAGAGAGACAGAGTAAGTATCTAGATGCATGATGTCGAATGGTTTAGTTGCAGTAGGAGTGATATTCATTTCTATATTAACAGGGTGACGCCCATATTTACTACGTTGGCATATTTCGCATTTGTTAACATAGGTTTGTATTGATTCCATTAGATTTGGCCAGTAGTATTTACTCTTAATTCGTTGTTCTGTTTCATCTATTACTCTGTGATTCGTCTTACTTTCGTGATAATTTTTGATTATTTCCGGAATATCTTGTTTTTCCACTACATCAATTTAAGTCTGAGAGAAGGCCATTTGAAATTTTTCCTAATTACTTCACAGAATAGTTCATACATTTCGGGATTCTCGAAGTGTAGCGAATATAATTTTCCGGGCGCTACATATTCTCTCATAAAATCTAAAATGTCGTTCTCGAAGTTATTTTCAGAGAGCTGGACTAAAAATCTTCTTTTTTTTTTCAAATATTATTCGCTTTGTCTTTGCTGGAAAATGGAATACTTTTCTTATTATTATTTGGTTCGCGCCATAATTAAGCGCTGATTCTAAAATTGGCACGCCCACTATTGGATCTTGGTCATTGTTTGTGTGAACGGTGTTGTTATCGCTTTCATCTTCTGCTCTCGTGGAAGGTTCTTGTTCTAGTTCAGGGTCTGGGTGTACTACGGTAGACATCTGATCCATGTCTTGACCATCATTGGTATTTTGGTTTTCTTCTCCCAATTTTCTATTAAAATCGTTTATATAGGATAGTAAATTTGAAATGCCGTCTGTTTCTTTTGTATGTAACTCGATGCGACTTAAGGTGTCAGCATTAGTATTCAATTTGCCTTTTTTGTAAATGAATTTGTAATTGAATTCTGATAACTTGTATCTCCAACGAATCAGTTTCGAACTTGTATCTTTCATATTTGAGAGCCATTCGAGGTGTTTATAATCCGTAATAATGTTGAATTTCTGACCATAGAGGTAGGACCTAAAATATTTGGTGGCCCACACGATGCAAAGGCATTCTTTTTCTATGGTAGAATAATTTCGTTCTGAGTCGTTCAATGTTCGTGATGCGTACGCAACTGGAAGGCCTTGACCTATTGGCCCTTAGGATAGGACAGCGCCGAAAGCTACGTTACTGGCATCACATGTCAAGTTGAAGGTTTAGTCAAAATCGGGGTATTGGAGGATTGGCTCGTTCACCAACAAGTTTTTTCACGTTTCAAAACAATCAATAAATTCGCTGTTATGAATTATTTCTGCTCCCTTCTTCAGGCATTTTGTTAGGGGTTTGGTGATTTTTGCGAAGTTGTTAATGAAACGTCTATAATAACCTAGTAGCCCTAGGAAGCCCTTTATTTGCTTAGTTGTCGAAGGTATTGGATAGTTTTTGATAGCTATAATTTTTCCTGGATTGGTTTAACACCCTCGGGAGTCACTACGTGACCTAAATAGGCGACTTCGTTTCTGAAAAATTCGCATTTGTCGAGTTGAATGGAAAACCGTTCTCAGGCGTTTTAGGTGTTCCTGCAGTGATGTGGAGTATACAATAATGTCATCAAGATAAACCAGACATTTTTCATTTTGTATTCCACGCAAGATGCCGCCCGTGACTCTCTGGAACGTAGCGGGGGAGTTTTTCAACCAGAAGGGCATGCGAGTAAACTCGTAGAGCCCATTTTCGGTATTGAAAGCTGGTTTAGGAATATTACATTAATCCATTTCTATTTGGTGGAACCCACTAGCCAAATCAAGGGTGGTAAAATATTGGCATTTGCCTGATTTATCTAGTACGTTTGTAATATTTTTTAAGGGATATTTGTCATCTATAGTTTTTTCATTTAATTTGCGGTAGTCGATAACTTCGCGGAATTTTTTTTTCCCAGATGCATCGGTTGTCTGTGGCACCACCCAAATTGGGGATGACCAGGGAGAATTACTGGGACGAATAATGTTCTAGTCCAGCATTTTTTTGATTTGAGACTCTACTTCTTTCTTATACACAAAAGGGTATCTGTATGATTTAGTATAGACAGGCTGTACGTCAGTGGTTTTTATAGAATGTTTAATTTTATTAGTGAAGGTTAAAGGTGTGTTTTCATAATAGAATATATCGGCGAACTCACTGCAAAGATTTACTATTTTACACTTTTCTTCTTCATTTAGGTGACTTGTACGAATATATACGGGTCAAATTCGGGATTTCCTGCAAAATCCTCAAAGTTATTTAAGCTTACTGTCTCAATTTCTTTACGATCAAATTGCTCAACCTGAAAAGGCTCGGAAACATCTAGAGTTATCGGATTACAAGTATTATTTAATATAGTGGTGAATGCAAAACCGTTCTTGGCAACAGTGAGACAGTTTGGAATTTCGCAATTGTGCAGTTTTTGATAGGGAATTATTATTTCACCATGTAAAATATTTGTTTTAATTCTAACAACTTGTTCAGAACGTGCTGAAATAGTTATATTATTTATCTCCTTACGAATTTTGTGTTATGAGAAATCCATTATTATAGTCGATGTTAGCTTGTAATTCTTTGAGATTGTCTAAACCGAGAAGTCCGTCAAATGTATTATGGAATTTAAATAAGTAGAATTTCAGGCATTTATTTTTTAGATTTTTAGATTAAATATTTTTGATGCGGGTACTTCAGCACTATATCGATGTGCCGATTGTTGAAAGACGGTTGAGACTATGAAAGGATCATATTTTATCTGCGAGAGATAAAATTTACTCGCTAATTGGGGATCAATAAATGATTTCGTAAAACCACTGTCGATTAGAAAGGACCCTGCCCAAAGTATACGGAAATTGTGTTTATGTCAGAATTGGCTGAATTTTGTATATGATGTAGATCACGCCTTTCTGATTAAAAGTTACCATTGCACCAGTCCTGAAAAATTACTCCTTTTTGAAAAAAATAATTTCATAGGTAGCAAGTAAAACGCTTAGACATTGTGATGGACGTTCAATGTA